TATTAAAGCATTACAGTTTCTTTGATTTCTTAATCATTAGCAACTTTAGCTCTGATTGCCCATGGAGTTGCAAGCTGTTAAAATTATCATTTGCCTTTTACTAATTTTGAAGCCAAAAGCTGTTTTCTTCACTAGATAACAGCACAGGTCTTTCTCAGAGCACACACAACTCAGGAATGCGAAGAATCTACTATAATATATGAAAGCCTCATCTAGAAATAATGAATTTGTAAAATAAATGGGGGAAAAGGGAGAGAGTTTATTTTTTTAAAGGATTCAACAAAACTTTTGTTCTGGTTTTTACAATTTAGTATTTAAATGGTGATTATTTTATGAAGAAAGTAGAGAGGCAGAGAATCTGAAAATGATGTTTCAATGCTAAGAGGTCAATTGAAATTCAGCCAGAGTTAAGATAATGTTGGTTTATCATATAAGTCAATAGAACAAAAAACATCCTGGAAAAATTTTTTTATACACAGCCTTTTCAAAACCATGCCCCTAAGTGCTTTGCCCATAGTAAATGCTCAATAAATATTTGTTAAATTTATTTGATATGTTAAGATTAATTAATATCACGATAAAATGAAATGTTACCCTGAGCATTCATTCATTCATTGAGCTATCATCCATTCAGAGATATACATTCCAAATGTAGATTATTGAAAAATATTGATAATTGATGACATTTTATTAAAAAATGACTTTATTGTTATGGATATACTTCAACAACAGTGGACTAAAGGAATTTGTGTCAGTCTAAGAGGCTCCTAAGGAATAGTGTTATGCAGGCTCATTAAGAAGCATCTCAGAAGCATATTAAAATTCCTAACCCCCATTCTCAAAGATTTTGTTGGGTAGATCTAGGGTGAGCCTAGCATTTGTATTTTTTTGCAAAACTACCCAGATACTCACATACAATTAGGTTTCAAAACCTAATATAAGATAACATCATCTACAACTGTTTCTTCCAAGAAGAATCATTTACCACAGATAATAGTTTGTTAGCCTATTTTTAATGTGCCTGTTCTTGATTTCCTGTTAAACTCCCTCCTTCTCTGGGAAGACCCAACCCTCTGAGGCAATGCTAGGGATAGGATTTTTTTTTTTTTCCAGAGCATCAGGAGAATGAACATCTATCTTTCCTCAGTCCAATATTTGTGATTTCTGGAGATTCTTTCTAAGCACCAATACGAAGCCAAGCAATACACTGGATATTGCCACCACATGATTTATCATTTGAAACAAAGCAGGAAAAGCAAAAGTTAGCACTACCTGGACATTCTGTCCTACTTACTTCACACTAATACTGCTCTTGTATATGAGCCATATTCCTGTCTTTCCTGAAGTCATTCTTTATAGCACAGACCTCTCCCAACCTTGTCCCCACACCCTTCTCTGAGGAGGTGCATTGTAAGGTTCTGGCAACCAAGAATTGGGTACACATAGTGCATCTCTGCCTGACCCATTCAACCCACTATTTACCTTGCTACCCTGACTTTTGTGGTTAGAAGAAAAACAACCATTTTCCAGTTCTGACTATATATTTTTTTTCTTCACCTCTCCTATATAATATTTGTGTTTAAGCACTGCCCTGCATGGCTTCTGCAGAGTTTACAAACTGATTTCCTTTTTTTCCTACAAGCTAATATTGATGCATTTTCCATCTCCTGTATAATATAGTGTGCCTCTAATCAGTGCTTCCCATTCAATATCATTACTATTAAGCATAATAGTACATTAATTATAACACATTATAATTTTGAGTGCTTATTAAAAGTACTCTCTCTCTTTCCTTCAGGAACTTCCACTATCTACATACCGTATTTGCCGGTGTATAAGACGATTTTTTGGC